TGGCTAAAGTCTCTTTGAAGGTACTAATAACATAACAAATTACACAGTAGATATGTTACTGTTTTCACTGGTAGGTGCCATAGAGTAGATTCTGAGTCATATTGACTGCATGTAACACATCAGTACTGCCCTCTAGAGTTTCCTTTGCTGTAACCCTTATGGGAGAATGAGATACACATCACCAGGTGATCCGCTCCCTTAAAACTGCTGGATGTATTCAAACCAGCAACCATTAGTTAGCAGTTGGGTGCTCAATTGCTATGACACCGAAAGACAAACTGTTAAATTTCTTGGGTGGGAAATGCCTCGGTCCTTGGCTTCACACAAGAAAGAATTCACGCCGAAGCCTGGTTTGTCATCCAAGTGGGTTTTGATACAGGATGGAAGTTTAAGGCTTTATAGTCACTGAACACAGGCACCCTCCTGGCATTGCATCCCCACACGTGGCGGCCTGAGACCAGAGAAAGAGAGAGACCCTGCAGCATGGCTGAGCCAGAAGGCAGAGGAGCAGCTGGAAAAGAGGGAGGTGGTGTCTCCAGGTTCCAGACTTTAGGCCTTTCCACTGGGAGGAGTGGTTGACGGTACTGGTTGACCCCATGGGCTGAATTAAGCCCACCTGGCCTAGTTGGGCCTGAATTGGCGCATGCCCTTTAGCATGCATTGCCTTCCAACCTCCTGTAGGAGGTCCTATCCTGCTACTTAACAAAACAAGTAAGCAAACAAAACAAGCAAGCAAAACCCAAATGAACTACTGCCATCAAATGGATTCCAACTCACAATGACCCTATAAAGGGTTGCTGAGGCTATAAATCTTTACAAGAGGATAGCCTCATCTACTTGCCACCACCAGGATTCCTTAAACATGTTACTATATAACCCATGGCATAGTGGGTTATGAATTGAGCCACAAGGTCATCAGTTCAAACCCACCAGCTCTCCACTGGAGAAATGAAGTTGTGTCCTCCAGAACGGATTTAAAGTCTCTGAAATGCAAGTAGGCAGTTCTACTCCATCTTATAAGGTACCTATGAATCAGACTCGACTTGAAAGCAATGTTTAGTCATATGAATACAAAAAATTAAAATTTACAGATATATCTTCTTGAAGATATGGATATGCTAAATTCATCATTACCTTCTAATTTTCATCACTACCTTTTTAGCATATGATTAGTGGTTCGATAGAGTAATATAATGAACACCTGTAAACCCCAGGTCAATATGCATGCATTTAACAACTGTCTCAACCAGAAGTAACCATATTTTACCATAAATGCACGTATGATCTATCTACACTATTTAGTTTTCATGTTCTTTATAAAATTCATTTCATACTGTATCCAGGCAATCTTTTGGGTCTTGGTTTTGGTTATTTGACTTTCATTTAAAAGTTATACATGTTGCTGGACCTTGGTCAGTTTTTCTATTCTTGTATCAACTGCATGGTAATTATTTTAGGTTTATAATAATTGACATCCAGAGTTAAAGAAAGATGTTCCCCTCTTTTTTTTCTTTAGTACTAACGTGATTGTTCTTAGCTCTTTATTTTTTCTCATAAAATATGGAATTGGCGTGCCAAACTCCACGAACCAGAGTTTCATTAGGATTGCATTGGCTCTGTTTATCAATTTGGGAGAACGTGGCACGTGTCTTCTTGACACTGCGTCTTCTCAGCCCAGAACAGGATAGCTCACCTTCTATATAGGGGTTTTTAATATCAGTAAGATTTTGCCATCTTTGACATTCTGACTTTGTATACCTTCTGGTAGATTTATTCCTAGGTACCATATGATTCTGTTGCTAATAGAAATCTTTTCTAAAACACGTATTTTTACATACCATGACACTGTGCGATGTTAGAGAATTACTAAGATACTGCACAGCACCCCATGAAGTGAATGGACCCAGAAGACACTATGCTGAGTGGAGTAAGTAAATGACACAAGGGCAGATATTGTATGAGACACTACGACCAAAAGCCAAGAAAGATTTTCACAATACAAGAAACAATCCTGGATGGTTATCAGGGGTGGTAGAAAAGAGAAAGTAAATTACTAACTAGAGGGTAGATACATATTACCTTGGGTAAAGTAGAGATAAAATGATTTTGTTTGGGGCAGGAAATGGAAACATATAATACTATCCTAGCCATATTAAATTTTATATTCATAAAAAATGCTAGATAGCAATATTCCCATGTTAATACAACTCTTTTTGTGTGGTGGTAATTGAGAATGATGATCAATTTCTTAATAATAAACAAATAAAACATGCATGTTATCAATACTTGTTATTCCGGTATAGACATGTAACTGAGTTTCTTTATATTGACCCTCTAGCTATATTGCTAGCCTTCTTAGGATCTAAATATTTGGTCTATAGAGTTTTTTTTCTTCCTTTTAAGTTATGCTTAATTTATATTTCTTCTTTATTATACCTGCAAGAATTTCAAATGTATTCTGTAATCAATGCAGCGGAGGGGTTCATCTTTATTTTTGTCCTCAATTTAAATGCCAGTCTGCCAATGTTTTCTTGTAAAGAATGATGTTCGTAATCATTTTTGGTAAACAATTTTGAACAGTTAGAGAAACTCATTTATGTTACTAGTTGGCTGAGAGCTTTTCCTCAAGAATGAGTGTGAGTTTTACTAACTGCTTCTCTACATCTACCAAGATGATTGTGCTGCTTTTATCTGCTAATTAAATGTAGGGTTGTACATTTACATATTTACTTCATAACGGTGACTAAATATTTAATTTTTTAATTTGGTAGTAACCCAAACTCATTTCCTTTCTAAAGCTACATATATACAATGCCTTTAGAATATAGTTTCATATAGAGGAATTCTTACAAAGCTAGATGAATACAAAGTTCAATTTGAATGGAGAAAGCCTTCTTTTCTTAGCCAACATGGGAGCTCATCACGCACTGACTAACACCTGGAAGAAAACTCAAGGCAGATTCTCTAAGAATCTGTAATGGTACAAAGCACATTACTCAACACATGGTGTTCCAGTGTTCAGTTATCATGCTGCCTGCCACCCAGTAACTACCAATAAGTGCTTGCAGAACTGAACAAGTGCATTAGAATCTAAGCTCTGTGTATTTAACACTCTCTAGTGTTGATTGCCATTATACTCTTTATTTTCTTTGGAATAGTACATGGTAGAACGTTTTTAGTTCACATGCTATTCATTCATTTTTTTTACAAAAAGTAATAATTCATTAAGCCTTTAATGTCATCACTATTATTTCAATTAAAATATTTTGTGGATATGATGTTAGGAACAGCCTAGGAAAAACTAATGGATTCGAAAACTACTTTCATTCTAGAGTAAAAGACACACACACACACACAGCATGACTTATAGAGCCCTCAAAGATCTGCCACTACTAACTTCAACAATTTCACTTCCACCCTTTGCCCACAAGGGTGCATCCTGTCCTCCAAGCATACCTGTAGTTCTCTAAGTACTGTGTGGCTTCTTAATGTCTCCTTGACTTTGGTGTGCTGCTTCCTCTGTCCTTTACTCTGCGAAGGATTCACCCCTTTACATGCACCTTTTTATTATTCCAGTTGTTGCAGTGTTGGCTAAGCTCATTGTTTTTATCCCCATGCTCCAACCCCTAGGCTGTAAAGGCACGGTGAGCCTCATCTTTATACTACCTGCACCTAGCAAAGCACCTGCCATGTGGTAGGGCCCACATGACATCTGATGAGTTTCAATGATCATGCAGTTTTAAATTTAATAAGTGAATCAAATAAATGTTTTATGTTTATATTTATTTTCATAAATAGAATTCACATTACAGGAATTCTATTTCTTTAAAAATCGTATCATTGTGTGCTCACTTCCATGATACGATCGCTGAAGACAAATGGGTGCATAAGCAAATGTGGCAAAGAAAGCTGATGGTGCCCGGCTATCAAAAGGTATAGCATCTGGGGTCTTAAAGGCTTGAAGGTAAACAAGCGGCCATCAAGCTCAGAAGCAACAAAGCCCACAGGGAAGAAGCACACCAGCCTGTGCCATCATGAAGTGATGTGAAAGGAATCAGGTATCAGGCATCATCAGAACAAATAATCTTACCATAGTGAATGGGTGGTGGTGGTGGTGGTGTGTGTGCAGAGTGGAGACCCAAAGCCCATTAGTAGGCCACTGGAGATCCCCTTGCAGAGGAGTCTCGGGGAGAAGATGAGCCAGTCAGGGTGCGATGTAACAACGATGAGAAATACAACTTTCCTCTAGTTCCTAAATGTTTCCTCCCCGCTCCCACTACCATGACTAGAATTCGACCTTGCAAGACTGGCTAGACCAGAGGAGGTACACTGGTACAGATAGGAACTCAAAACACAGGGAATCCAGGGCGGATGATCCCTTCAGGACCAGTGGTGTGAATGGCAATACTGGGAGGGCAGAGGGAGAGTGGGTTGGAAAGAGGGAACCGGGTACAAAGATCTATATGTGACCTCCTCCCTGGGGGACGGACAACAGAAAAGTGGGTGAAGGGAGATGTCAGACAGGGCAAGATATGACAAAATAATAATTTATAAATTATCAAGGGCTCATGAGGGAGGGGGGAATGGGGAGGGAGGGGGGAAAATGAGGACTTGATGCCAGGGGCTTAAGTGGAGAGGAAATATTTTGAGAATGATGAGGGCAATGAATGTACAAATGTGTTTTACACAATTGATGTATGTATGGATTGTGATAAGAATTGTATGAGCTCCTAATAAAACTATTAAAAAATATACCTTTGAATGTTTTTTCTTTTCCTTCACTAATTGAGAATGCTCTTTTTAATATAAATGCTAATGCAAAAAATTGTGGGGATGTATAGAAAGGAATGGTACATTTCCAGATATCATTGAGTGTGTACCTATGCACAATAAACTAAAAAAAAAGGTATTATAGAAATTTACTATTAACACTCAAAACTCCAAATTATACACACAGAAACAGAACTGAGAAATATAATTGGCTCGGTCTATGCAATTACCTCAATGATTGTTGGTTTCCCCACACCTTCAGCTGTTGGAGACCCATAGAGCACTCCATCACTATAGGGAGTCCTTTGGATATAGCGAAGCCACCCAGGTCGGTCTGGATAACCCATTAAATTTGTGTTGAATGTTATGGGATCATTACTGATTTCGCCTAGAGAATAAACACAGAATTAAAGACATAAGAGTTATTTTTCACAAATTTTTCTTTGATAGGTGCAAACACATAGACCTAATGTAACTTTTCCTTATATTTGCAGCAAACTAATGGGGGTGGGGGCAGGGGTGGGAGAGAAAATCTGGGTTATGTAGATAATGGCATTGTGTAAAGAAAAACCCATTTGGTTGTTTAGTTTGTCTAAAAGTCTAATGCAGCAAAGAAAGCATATGCACACAATTTTCTAGAATCGCTTTCCGCTTGGCTACTTAGTGTTTGGGCAGTTTGGCCAATGAGATAACTATCTTTCAGGAAAACCACTTTATTGTATTCATGCAGTTATATTCTTGAGAAGTCTAGCTACTATCAAATTAATCTTAAAATCTATCTTAAAACCATAAAAGTATATCATCAAAACAAAAATGATTTAATTTTTAAAAATTGGAGGATGGGATGAAAAAGACCTTACAAATTCAAAGCAATAGTAGAAATGAGAACATTTATTAGTAATAAACCAACCCCTGCCACTGAGTTAATTCTGACTCCTGGCAATGCTCCATGGGGTTTCTGAGGCTGTACATCTTTGGGGGAACAGATGGCCTCATATTTCTTTTGTGAAGCAGCTGATGAGTTTGATCTGCCAACCTTGCAGTGACAAATCCAATGCATACACCACAGTATTATATGCATCCTTTATTACCATGTAACAGGCCCTGTGCTAAGTGTTTTACAGGCACTATTTCATCTGATTTCCACAATGCACTTAAGATAGTACTATTATTATTTTATTGATGGAATACATAATTTAGGTAACTTTTCCAGGACCATATTGAATCGTGAAACTAAAATTTAACACAGGGGAGAGCTGACTCCCCAAAATAGGCTCTTCTTATCAAATGTTAAGAGTTCCCTGCTGAATACTTTAACCGAATAGTTTTGCAAACACGAAATGCTTTGTAAGGAAAGTTTTAAAATAATTGACAATACTTTAATTTAAAATAATTTATCACTTATTGAGCTTATTTCAAATAATGTAAATGATATTTTATCACATGCCATCTAGCTTGTGTGTACTGAATATAAAAAAAGATGTAGTAAAATAACCACCCCGCAGACACACACAAAGAACATACCAGGTTTGGGGTAGGGTGGAAATTCCCCCTTAAAATACTCTCTCTCCAAAACGTGAACAAAGAGGACCCCAGCAGATGGGTACACATTCCAGTCAGCGCGCACTCTGGAGAAAATAGTGTACACTGAAAACAAAGAGGGACGATAAGAGACAGAGAGACAAACAGTATGATACACCCCAGATAATGCAGTTTACCCTGTCATGAGGGGCTCACAAAGCAGAAATTCTGGGGAAACTGAAGCAGCATGCAAGGTAACTATTAATAACCATAGCTTACAGGGAAGTGATTTTAGGATAAAACTCTTTCAAGTTGGTGTGCTTAGAACCTTCTCAAGTATTATGCAGACAAAATTAGATGCATTTTTATTTTGTTATTATTAAATGATGAAGAGACACATAATATCTTTTTTGGTAATTTTTTCTAGTTGCAATTATTGACACCCCCCCTCCCCCCGCCAAAAAAATCACAAGAATTAACCCACTAGATAATTGCTATGAGTTTTAAAAAAAATAAAAGTATATAGAATTATTTAATTGATATGAATCCACACAGTATTAAATGTCTGTTAGATTTAAAAAAAACTATGCAATATCATCAGAATATGTATGTCAACTTTCACATAAACTGGTAATAATGTACCGGATACTTTAACTATCAGCATTCCCTTCTCAGTTCTCACCGGGAAGTTAGTTATTCCATTTCCTCTGATCCTGACATTCAATAATTCAAACAATTTAATCTATTATATGATACTGTATCCTAAATAACTGGTAACAATTGTATAATAAAATCTAGTTAAAATAATTTGTTTGTGAAATGTAGACAGATGTCATGATTTACTGGTTACCTAAGACGTATGATGTGGGTACATTAAAATGGCCAAATTGGTTTGATTAGCTTCCACTTACTGTTTTTTCTCTGATATCATCATCTCCACCAACACATTACTGCCATTACTCTTGTCACCTCTACCATCTCCTTTGGGTTTCTATCTCGCGGATTGGCTAACGGCTGCAATTTTTAGACAAATAAACCCTACCAAGCCAATTCTCCCTCTTAGTCACTGATGGATTGGTAAATGCAGTAATTAACCTTAGAACCCCAAGGCTGCTTGTTCCAAGCTCACAACTTACTAAAAGCCCTGGATAGCAAGATCACTGACAATAAATTTTTCAACATAAAAACAGGAACTCCTACAAAATGTTTCTGTATCTGTGAAAACTTGTGCTGGCAGTTCTGTGGAAGACAGCCAAAAAAAAAAAAAAAAAAAGGAACGGAACTGTTTAAAGTGCATTTAAACTATTGGGTTTATATTCACACATCTAAAACTTAACTACTGAAAACATAACTTGAAAGGCTACGTTACAGAAGTCAGCTTTAAAGTAGGTATTTAGGAATACTCTGATTCTATTCTGTCTTGGTTTGTGTTGAGTATGCCTAAGTAACCTTCCCTAGCAAGAGTCATTTACTTACCTGTAGAAAAGAGTCATCGTCTAGAAATGATAATGAGCCAGTCATAGAAAATTAGAGAGGGTGAGGATTTGTCATTTTTCACCAGTTTGATTCCACAATGTACCCAGAATGTTAGGTATTTGGGGGGAATGTGGAGATAACAGAAACCCAGTCCTTGTCTCCCATGAGCTTATCCTCTGGTTAGGGAATCCAATGTCCACCTAACTAGTTATCATCTGAGAATAAGTAATATCTCCACAAAACCTGGAAAAACTGTGAGGGGCAATTGAGGCTGCAAAGATGCAGAAAAGCTGTGTGCAAGAAGTAGAATTCTGTACGTCTCTGAAAAGTCCTAGCAGGATTCTGACCCTTAGGGAGGGCGGACTCAGCTCCTCTCAGGAAAACACAGGTACAAGTTACAGCAGTGGGTAGGATCCTAGGGAGTGCTTTCAAGAACGGGAACTACATTAATGATGCTAGATTCTGGGGTACATCGAAGGTATGAGAACACAAAGCCTGGGAAGACAAGGAAAGTTCAAGTTATGGGGAGCCTTGAACTATGAAGCTATTTCACTCCGTAGGAAAAGATGTTTCAATCCTAGACCACAACCTTACAGCTTGAGCATGAGAAGATTCTGAAGAATTTTAAGTGACGCTCTTGAGAATTTATCAAATTTATTCTGTCTAGAGATTTAAAAACACCTTTAAGTTCAGTTCTTTAGCTTTGTTATTTTCTTGGCACCTAGTAAAGAGTGATATTTTAAATAATTTTATCAATGTCAAAAGAATAGATAAGTACATCTTAATAAGAAGCATCTCTGTGTGAGCAAATAACCTTTTTCATAGCTTCTGACCACATATAATGCCCAATTTTGATTACACTTTTGTCATCTGCATTAATTATCAGTTATGCGTAGCGCTTTTGAATTTTATCATCTATCTACATTATAAACTACGAAGAGTCTCTCTTAGTTTTTGTGTTATCAGGCAGGTAAAATCTAACTTATATTCTAAAAAGAAAGTTCATACAAAAGAGCAGTCAAATGATTTCTATTTAATAGATAGACTTAGGCAGGGCCTGAAGAAGAACCATGCAAGGGGACCTGCCATTCCATAGCATCACACCCCAAGGGCTAGTGTCATTTCTGTTTGTTTTCATCATAAACAAAACCAAAAAACCACGTTTCTGCTGTCTACAGAGTCAAACCACAATCTACCGCGATGCTCCTGGGTTTCCAGATGGCATGCACATTTCTTTATTCATGTGCATTCAATTGCCTTCCTGCAATCCGCTGAACTGCATACTTGCAGGTCAGTTACCTTGGCAACTCCACGGTAAAGCTGGCTTCGCTTTAAGTATAGGGTGTCATTCACTTTGAGAAAAACATGATACAGATGTATTACACATTCACCATCTAGAAATGGAAAATAACTAAGCCGCTATGTTTTGTTTGTGAAAATAATGCTTCCTTTCGGGTAACATCGGTTTAAATTATGGGTCCCCACACAACATTTTGGAGAGGCGTCCTTTACCTCTGCCATTCATTACTTGCGAAACAAACAGGTCCTCAACAGAGGCTAGTTGGGCGGTAGCTTCCTTTTGAAAACAACAGATGACACAGGATTAGAAGCTATAGGCTCTTGTTATAGACACGAGCTATACTAATAGTACTGCTAGGTTCTGCACCAACACCCGGAAACGCCGTCAACAATTCATGCCTGCTGCACTCATATAGGCCTATGTAAGGCTCACTAACCGTAAGCTTGAAACAGACTGTTTTCTTTAGAACAAGTCTTGAAAATCGAATTTAAACCCTCGAAGAATCCACAATACTCCTCTAATAACCTTTGAAATGTACATGTGTATGGTGCCATGCTAATCAACCTAAGGTCACGGGGTCTGGCCTCCCTGTGTATCACATGGCTTTGCAATCTTTAACGGCTGCAAATCCATTACCTCTGCAAACACATGCCATAGGACACAAGCGAAACTGGAGACCAGTGTGTGGTTAAATCCATGGAAATCCATCACCATTAATGGGAGAAACAAACCAAAGCCTAATCCACAGGGGATCAAACTCATCATCTCCCAGCAGCCGGCGTAGCCAGGTTTGCAAAGGCTAAAAATTCCTGAGGACAGACAGCTAAAAAGAACTTTTTTTTACAGAAAAAATTACATATTATATCAGTGTAGAAAGAAGCTAGGGGGGTATGTGGAAAAGTGGCTAAATGAATCATCTCACTATTCCTAAGTGAGGGTCCGATGTTTCTAGTCACCACGCTGCCAAAATCTCATCCGTGAAACTGTTCTTTCACATGTAAGTCACAGGCTATAAGAGTGGGGGCCATTTCAACATCTGGGTATGATGTGGCAGCAGGGTGCCAAGGACATGACAGAAGCAGTAATAAAGTGAGGACTCACACGAGCTAAATAGCACCCTGTCTTCCTGCATTAATTGTCCATTTGAAATGTTCTCTCTGAGAGAGCAATATTATGAAGAAAATAGAAGGGTGTGAGTTTGTACGTTTATTTACAATTACTGAAAAACAAACGCAAATTTGGATGCATTTAGCAAACATGAAATCTGCAAAGGATTGTGGTGGTGCATAGCTAATGAATCTGTAGTAAACAGCTCACAATTATTACGATAATTATTCCTAATGGCATGTGCATGTACACAGGCACGCACCCACGCGGTCCCTGAGCCTTGACAAAGTCCTGAGAACAATTCCCAGCCCTTTTTCTGCATCGCCACGAAAGTGGGCCTGACTGCAGAACAACGGCTGCCAAGTGTCAACCTCTAGGCTGGTTCCAGCCAGATTTACATTGTAAAGCTGTCATCCAGAGGAGATCTTTGAGAAGTCACCATCCAGTGCTGTCAATATTCATGTTCAGGTGACCTTTATTAGGTACCTATTAGGTGTATGGCTTTCTTAGAATCTTTACCAGCATATTAATCATTTTAAAAGATCTCTTTACATCATCATTTTCTAACTGTTAAGATTTAGGAGAGTGCAGAAAATCACCATTTATCAGGAACCCCAAGGCACAAATCACTCCAGAGCGCTAAGTTTTCTAAGTGCTCAGCAGCCGATCCGTTTTCATTATGGTTTAAGGTCATCATCTTGCACATCAATTATTGCGCCCTGCTCTATTATACAACGACGCCCTTATGGGGGCCTGTCGTTTACTGATCACGCTAGCTGGTCGCAGGCGGCTGTGCTTTTTAAGGTTGTGTGTTTTATAGATTTTCTGTTTTCGCCTCTGTAGACGAGTTGTCAGCTGTCATTTCTCATTGCTATCAGTAGGCTTCCTATAACGGCTTCTCTGTCCCTTCTAATTTACTGTTATTAATCAGCCACAGGTTTAGAAACTATCCTACCAAATGAAGTGGGATTGTGTGTAAAGAACAAATCACTGCTGCCTAATGCACACTGGGCTCTGTGAGACGTGAAACACAGGGGCTATTATATCTGCAGCATTTGGAAGGGGCTGCAAACCAAAAAGTCTGTGGGAAAGATAGAATTGAAAAACAATGGGAAGTTTTCCGTGAACTTTTTGAATCCCCCTTGTATTTTGGCCGCACCCATACCTTTGGATGGAGTATTTCCTGGTTCCTACTTGCCACAGTACATTTCTGTATAGATGATTTCATGATAATTGAGATGCA